AGGATGCACAACCTCACATTGTGTGGAGGATAGATCCACTCCATAGATGTGGCCGCGTTTCTGGGGCGGATATATCCTCCACACAACGTGAGGTTGTGCGTCCTCCTGAGCCGATGTGTGTGGAGCATACATCCTCCAATTCGTGCTCTCGGTATCTCTATGCATATCGAAACCTTGCAGTTGTGTAGAGGATACATCCGCCCCAGAGACGCGGCCACATCTCTTGAGCGGATAGTACCCCGAAAGGCGGCGCCGATGGGTACTAGAAAGTGACGACATTTGAAATAGGCTCGTGCTACTGAACAAAACACAACGGGATGATTGGGCAGGGCCTCGATTTCCACGAAATAGATCAACCGTGATCTGTGGAGCGGATCTATCCTCCTCACAATAGGTGCATTGAGACCCTCCGGCTCTGTGGAGGATAGATCCGCTCCAGAGATCAGAGAAAGGGAGTGGGTGTGCAACAGTCAACGCGTGTCCTCCGTATAATGTGTGCATCGTACCCCGAAAGGCGACTCCGATGGGTACTAGAAAGTGACAAAATTTGAATTAAGCGAGTGCTGCTGAAGACAACTCGTGGGGAGGAAGCATCGTCGGGAGGATCTATCTGCTCCACAAAATGAAGTGATACCGAGAGTAAGGCTTGGAGGATGCATGCTCCAGACACATCTGGTCGGGAGGATGCACAACCTCACATTGTGTGGAGGATAGATCTGCTCCTTAGATATGGTCGTGTTTCTGGGGCGGATGTATCCTCCACACAATGTGAGGCTATGCATCCTGTCGAGCCGATGTGTGTGGAGCATACACCTCCAAGCCGTGCACTCGGTGTCACTATGCGTATCGAAACCTTTCAGTTTTGTGGAGGATACATCTGCCCCAGAGACGCGGCCACATCTCTGGAGAGGATCTATCCTCCGCACAACGAGAAGTTGTGCATCCGCCCGAGCGGACGTAAAACCTTCGGAGGCAGATTTATCCTCCGCACGATGTGTGTATGGAGTCTTTCCAGTTGTGTAGAGGATACATCCGCCCCAGAGACGGTTTCTCGTACCTTGAACGGATTATTCCTCCACGCGATGTGTGTATCGAGAGGGTCCGGTAGTGTCACTATTCGTGTATCAGAACCTTCTAGTTGTGTGGAGGATACATCCGCCGCAGAGACGAGGCCATATCTCTGGAGCGGATTTATCCTCCACACATCTGTAAACCATTTGTTTTCTCGATGGCGGATGCATCCGGCGCACAGGTCTTGACACTTCGTGCCGCGAATGTGTGTATGGAGTCCTTCCAGTTGTGTAGAGGATACATCCACCTCAGAGACGGTTCCTCATATCTTGATCGGATTAGTCCTCCACGCATTGTGTGTATCGAGGGGGTCGGGTTGTGTCACTATTAGTGTGTAGGAACCTTCCAGTTGTGTGGAGGATACATCCACCCCAGAGACGAGGTCACATCTCTGGAGCGGATCTATCCTCCACACAACATGAGGTTGTGAATCCTCCCGAGCTGATGTATAACCTTTGTCGCTCTATCTCTACAGAGTTTGTTTTCTCAGTGGCGGATGTATTCGCCGCACAGATCTTGACACTTCATGTTCGTAGGTCTTGACACTTCATGGTCGTGGGTCCTGACACTTCGTGCTCATCGTACGCAGATAAAATGGCATCCAACGGGGCTGGAAAACAACACGACACCGCCCGACCGTCCGTCGAAGAAGTGACGCTTGGGGCAGGCGGGAACCGTGAAGGGCATTTAGCGACCTTGGGTACAGCGCAAACGACCGACAGCAGTCAACCGTCTGTTGGAGGAGCGACTCCTTAGGCATGTGGGAACCGTGGTGGGCCTGCAATGACTTCGGGTACTGCGACTCCTTAGGCATGTGGGAACCGTGGTGGGCCTGCAATGACTTCGGGTACTGCACCAACTGTCGATCGGAAGCGTCGGGGGCGGGGCTCGTCCGACGAGAAGAGAAACCTTCAGTACTATAAGCTAGACAACCGTTTGTGGTACGTCGACTGGGTTTCGGAAGATCCTTCGGCGCCAACTAAACTGCAGTGTGGAGTTGTCCTGTACATCAAGGACCATAGTGCGATTCGGCTGCTTGGGGCTGTGAATGGGTGGGAAGATTGTACCGAGGGGCTCAGAACGTTTCATATTCAAACGGTGTACACGAAGAGTGGGGAGGCTGACCACAACGCCAGGGGGTGTAGACTAGCGTGGAAAAATTTTCGGGGTTTCGGAAATGCTGCCACCAGTCTTTCGTTTTACAGCCCTATAACCTCGGATTTATAAACTGATGTTGTCGTGCATTGTTTCTTTGATGACCGGGAGATAATAGTGTCGCCTGACCAGTGCAAGGACGTGTCGTCCGGGCATCCCATTTCCACGCCCATTAGCGCAGTCGGTGTTCAGCCCATGAGGATGGAAACTTCCAAAATGGCACTAACTGGTGGTCGTGATGAGGGCACAGCAGCGAGGACCTCAACGGAACATCTGGACCCTAACTTCGTTCCCCCGCAGCAGGAGCACTCTCAAGCGTATGAAGAATCGGACCCCGAAATTGATGCTGGGGAGGGCACGGTTACGAAGACCTCTGCCGAAAAGAGGGCCTCTATCGTACAGCAAGTTCCCAGTAGATATTTGAAGAGGACGACAATCAACATCCGGGAAGCTGGAGGGGAAGAATCAGAAGCTCCGGTGCGCCGAGGGATTGTTGAGGCTGGTGGTGGTGAAAAGGGGAAGAGGCCCATAACGGTCGGGTAGAACCTAGAAGAGGAAGTCTCTGACGAAGAGGGGGGTACCGATGAGGACACCCAGGTCGTGTCGGCAGGGGATAAACGAGTTGGGCAAGGGTCTGCCGAAGGGGGAAAGCAAAAGAAGAGAAAAGTGAGTATCTCCCAAGGAGCCGGGGTGAAGAGAAAGTCGGCGGAAGGGGGTAAAGAGACTACGAAGAAGAAACGGCAAGGTGCTACCGGAAAGGGACCGAAGAAAGCCAGGAAGGATAAGGATCAGGTGGAGGAAGAGGAGGAGGGTGGTTTAAATGATCGAATTATCGATTTGTACACAAGTTATTTTCTGGAGTGGAAAATAGGTGTGAAAAAAAATGTAACTCCTTTTGTAAACCCAGATAGGGTGATTCCATTGCCGGCGTGGGAAGAGTCGTACAATCATCGTTCCATGGATGACACCCACATTGAGTTTATCTTGAAGGCTATGCTAAATTCCTACTCGAAGCCCAACCACACCTACGAAAAGCCAGTCGTGAAATTGACAACAATCAGAGAGCCACCTAAGGAAGGGGAAAAGGTTGTCCGTATTACACCAGACAAATTCAACGAGGACAACCCAAATGAGCACTGGTATTATGTCGTGAGCGGGCAACACAACATGAAGGCCGCTTTGTTGCCGAGGGACCATGATATTTGGAACAAGCACTCGTTCTTTGAGTGGTCGTTCAAACCGTTGTACTTTTCGGACGACAACTTCGACGGTTACTCACAGATCTATGTAATCAACAACAGGAAGGACAAGGCTGCCCCTCCTAGGTCCCAGCTGCTATTTATGATCGACATGCCACAGATTTGGGTAAATCTGAAATGTCCTCGTCCAGTGGCTGGGAATGTTAAGTTCAAGAAGGACTTCGTCGCCAATTATAAAAAATTTCAAAAATTGGCGTTGAGAAAGACGCCATACCACAACCTCTAGGGCATTGTTCATAGCAGTACCAAAGAAGATAAAAAGCTATGGCAAGAGAAATTGAGGTATTTTTTGCCTCTCGTCATGAGCGATGACGAGACGTACGAACTAGGTATGAAGTTCTATGAAGAGTGGACGAAGGGTCAACTTCTCGCTCCAGAAGGCGCTCTGTGGACTAAGAGGCCTCCTACGACGGACCCGAAAGCCACTCAGGAGGGTCAATCTTTTGCAGAGGACAGCAGCGGCCAGAAGAGAGTCGTGTACAATGTTCGGGTTACTGATCCAGAGCAACGCAAAGGAAGGAAGCGGAGGAAATAGGAGGAGCGTGACTTTTTCGTTCAAGTCAATGAACCCGACGTGCATTGCTGGAAAGAAATGGGGGATTTCACAGATCTGGAAAAACAACGGATTTTGAGGGGTGTGCTGGACCTTGAGATTGTGTGGGTGCAGCAAGGGAGCAAGAAACTAGTTGAGCACGGGAAAATGGAGGTGAAAGACGCCTGCAAAATCGTAAAGCAGGACCGAATGCTGCTTCGTTTGTGGCATATAATTGAGTTCCAACACCAAGGGCGGACCAACGATGAGTGGAACGCTGATTTCTTCCGGACGGGAGAGCAACTATTGACGCGGCATGCAGGAGATTTGTTACCGATCACTCATACCTGAAGGCCTGCCCCCAATACCTCGGTTGTGCCTCATGTAAGGAGTTGAGAACAACTCTGAGTCTGGTTGAACACGAGAAGTTCCCTACCGAGTTGAAGCGGGTTGTGTTGTTCGTGCTCAAAGGCGAACGCGGCAAAGAGGAGGATGGGCCTGTCAAACTGGACGATTGCACTATCATCAGGTGGAGGGACACCAAAGTCGTCACAACACTCGCACCTTTCACCTTCGATGCTTTCACAGCGTTTCTTGTGAAGGACGACGTGTGGAGAGTTGTGAGGCAGCTCCGATGCCACACGTGCATCATCGACCTTTGTGATCCTTTCGACCAAGCACGGTGAAATGAGGAGGCCTTCACGGCGTTGGCGGGGTTCCTGGAGACTTTATGTCCTGGATTTTGGACAGTGGTCGCTTTTGGTTCCGAGGATTTGGGACCTCTCTTTTATGGGTCTACTACATTGTCTTCCTGTGGTGAGTGGAAGCGCAGGAAAATGGGTTCAGAGAGGCCAAGGTCGAAAGACTTACCAGATCGGCAACAACACATGGGCCGAGGAGGACAGGATGTATGTTCTCTTCCACAAGGACGACCTAAAGCTCAATACTCAACCGGTTTATGAGGGGGGGTTGCGAGATGACGACGCTGCCGCCTTGGGAAAGAAGCAGAAGTGCACACCATCCGATATCGCTGAAACTTAGTTCACACCCACGACGTTCCATTCAGCAGGTGTCCTCCACCAGAAGGGGGTGGTGTATAAGGAAATGGAGCGCAACCCTAGTATGTTGTGCAGCCTCATGGAGTTCTTTTGCCCGCCCGAGAACGCAGTTATGTTCCTTGGGAAGGCGCATGCCCAAGTTGTGTGGAAACTCCTCAGGAGTGGGCGCCATGTAGTGGCCGTGGAGGGAGACACAGAACTCCTCAGCTTTCTGAAGACGTATGTCATGCACGAGATCAATAGTGGAGTTCACAACTGCGAACTGCACATCGGGCAAAACTCGATGGACCATGATCCCAACAGGAACTTCTCATTCAAGCTCTCCTCTGAAAAATGGGCAAAGCTTTACAAGTTCCTCTTCCAGGACACACATCCCACATACCGAACCGAGGACGACTACAAACTACGTCGACAAGTCTCGATCAGAACATTGGACGGCTACCATGGTGGGTCAAGGGAGGCGGCGACCAACTTCATCGACAAACTGGAGGAGTGTTATTTTGACCAAGGCAACACTGAAGTCACTCTCAATATTTTCAGGGCACACTTCAATGACGAGGAGGACTTCAACCCTAACGACGATGAAGAGGTCAACGAAGGTAATGCGGAGTTCGATTTAGAGGGAACATACCACAAGCATGCTGTCGGTGTAGCATCCTCGTCAACGCCTGCAAGTTCCCAGATTCCCGTGGGTTCTCCTGTCGGTACTCCATTCGCCGCGCCAATCGCCACGCCAGCGTCCGGTTCTTCGAAAGGATTTTTGTCATCGAGGAGAAACAAGCCTCTCAGCCCCACCATCAGGCCCGGACTTCCAATTCCGCTGTCCGCGCTGTCAGGTCTTCAACCAGGCGAAGTATATCACTTCGGCAAAGACCACAAGAGCACCAGCGAGGCTGAATGGGGTCACCACATATTGTGGCATCCTGATCATTTCCAACCGGCCGTTCTGGATGGTACATGGGGCATGTCAATGAATTATGACAGCGTGTGGGAAGTTGATCAACGAATGTCAAAGGAAGAGTTCTTACAAGTTGCGCATGAGGAGGTGGTAAGGCGCATTGCGGAGATTAACGCACTAGAACCGGAGGATCGGGTGGTCGTATGGCATGGACAGTCCATATTTGAGATTTTACGGGATCACAATTTGTTCAAGCTCCTTGCTGAATTTTACGGACGCGAGACGAGCCCGGGTTCCGGAGTCCAAATAGAGTGGGTAATTTCGTCGGGAGGGGGTGGAACCGGCGGTGGTAGAGGGGGTGGAAGCGGCGGTGGTAGAGGGGGTGGAACCGGCAGTGGCGGAGGGGGTGGAACTGGTAGTGGTGGCAGAGCTAACGAGGGCATGGGAGGTGGAGAAGGAGCGGGGGGCCACGACAGAAGATCGGGGGGCCACGACGGTACAGGTGCAGGAACAATCCCGCCTGGAATGGGTGCCTGTCTAACAGTAGAAGGGGCTACCTCACAGACCAGCACGGACTCTCGACTTGCTGAACCCACCGGTGCCCAGTTGTTCAGTGGAGGATGTATCCGCCCCACAATCGAAGCCGAAGTTTTTGCATGTTCCAAACTGCTCGGTGTCGGGTCTGTCCCATGTACAGTTTCAGTGGGATCCAATTTCGCCTCAGATTTGGAAGGGGAAGTTGGATCCATAAAGTTTGTGGAGTCCGAACCGATGTCGGACGTCGACGTAGGGTGCGTTTCCATCGGCCGCGAGGGACTCTTGGAGAGAGGATCTATCTGACCCACAACGGATTATGCAGCAGACATATCGTTAGTGAGCTCTTTCGCCAGCATCCCTCGAGTGAAGAGCCTTTCTGCCAGTGGAGGATCTATCCTCCCCACAACAAGTCAAGCTGGAGAGACCCAAGTAGGAAGCCTTCCCCCGAGTGTCTCGAGAAGCCAGGACCTTTCCGCCAGTGGAGGATCTATCCTCCACACGCCAAGTCAACCTCGGCAAACGCAAGCAGGAAGCCTGCCTGCACGTGTCCCGGGAGTCCAGAGCCTGCCACCAATAGGAAGCCTGCCCTCCAGTGTCCCGGGAGTCCAGTGCCTTTCGGCCTGTGGCGGATCTATCCTCCCCACAACAAGTCGGGTTGGGGAGGCGCAAGAAGGGAAACTTCCCAAGAGTGTCCAGACAGTGCACAACCTTCTCGCTGGCGTCCAGGCAAAAAGTCAGGCTACCAAAACGGTCGTAGGAAGTCAGGTTGGGGAAAAGTCAGTAGGAAGCCCTCATGAAGGCGTCCCTTGAGTGCAATCTCTTTCCGTCAGTGGCGGATCTATCCTCTCCACAACGAAGGACCAACAAAGCAAGTCCAATGGCTCCGAATCAACAGATTTTTCAGAGGAAAAGGACGTCGTAGATGAGGCTGTGGAAATGTAGGCGACTCCTCCTCCTGACGTGAGACGCGGTGGTACAGAGGACGACTTTCTCTCTCGGCTGTATTCGGGAATCGACAGAAGACCGCTTTCGACTGTCAATTTCATTCGTGGAGACGCAACCCATGCACTTGACATTCAACCCTCACAAGTCCCTGCAGCTACACTCGTCTCAGGTCCGTGCGTGGAGGAGAGAGACGTCACCATGTCAGAACAGGAAGAGGAAGTTGTTCGTCGTCCGCTGGGCGATGACATCACCCGTAAACCTTTTCGTGACGACGTAGACCTTGCTGCCACCGTTGTGGTGGATTCCAGTCCAAGCAAGACTGGGGTTAGTGGGACACCTCTGGTGGAACTGTCTCTCGATGAGGATGTCGAAAAACAGTGCGCCGACTCTCTTAGTCTCACTGTTGAAGAGGTCGTTTGAACCGTCAACGCTGACGTCGAGGATTTGTCCATGTTTCTAGCCCGTCTGGACCATGTTGTTGCATCGGGGAAGATCAAACGAGAAGGGGTAGTGTTGGGTCTGAAAGCCAGCTGCGTACAGGAGGAGGTGTTACGAGTTTAAGATGACAACAAGGACGATGCTGGTGGACATGCTTGAGAAGAAGCTGTGACCGGTAAGTAGTGACTTTCATTGCTTAACTTGGGGTCTCTCTAGTGCTGAACATCTGGAGTGTTCTTTCACATGTAGATAGCGGTTAGGGATATGTGGAACATGAGGGTAATTGCTCGTTGCCCCTTCGTTTGCGAAGCGCGGCCATACGTTGTATTCGTAATTATGTTTCTTCATCTGTTGTACAGGTCGGTTGTCTCCTTCGTGTGTTGTACGGAGAAAGTCGAAGGACTATCTCATGAAGACGAGAGTGTCGCAATTGTCCCCAAGAGATATGAAAATTGTAAAAGCGGTTGGTGTGAGTGTTGAAAGAGTTAAGAAGTTGCATATAAGAGTTTGCAAGAAGTTCACAGTTTCTCCAGTTTCTGAACCTGAGTCGTACTTTGAAAGAACGACGAGTGGAGGGGTTCATATTTACAATGTTTTTAGTACTAAAAGCAAAGAACTAGGCGGCTGGGACAGTTAGGGTATCATTCTTCTCATGGTCATGCGTGTTGCTTGGTTGGTCTGTGCAGCGGACATGAGCGCATCAAGCGTTGGAAGAAGTGAGGGAGAGTCGTCGAAGTTGTTAGACAACCTTGTACATTCTCGCCTATCTCCAACGATGATTGTGGCTTGCTTGCCAGTGGAGAACTTGGTTGTTAGGGTTCGAGACATGGATACCTTGTTGGATAGAGGCGGTGAGCTGAACGACGAGATCGTGAACTTTTACTTTGCCCTGCTCGTTAGGGACTGTCGTATATCTTCTTCGAAAGTGTACAACTTTGTTTCTTTCTTTTTCACGAAATTATTGCTTCAGGGTTATAAAGGGGTCACAAGATAGACGAAAGATGTCAATATTTTTGAATATGACGTGTTGCTCGTCCCTATTCACAAGGACAACGAACATTGGGTTCTTCTGACCGTAGATTTTAGAAAGAGAGTTATACAGTACGTTGACTCTTATTATATTGCAGTGTGGGACGCTTCATTTACTTCAACTGCGTATAGAGCAGTCCTGCAGTACCTGACTGAAGAGGCAATGATAAGGGCGTTGCCCCAAAGGTATGATAACCTGAGATTTGAAGTTCTCGTCAAAGGAGTGTCAAGGCACGTTGACGGATCCAGTTGTGGGGTTTTCATATCAACGTTTGCTTCCTTTTTGGCTAGAGGACTACGTCCGTCTTTTCGTTTCTCGAACATTCATATACCCGCTATCAGATGCGAGCTGGCGTCCATCATCTGTTCTATAGGATCGCATATGTGTTGTGACTAGTTGAGGATACGTATAGTTTTGCCCATAGTTCACCAACAGCCCGTGAGGTTGAACTTGTGTCATGTGTAATTACAATTTTTTTTCAAAATAGTTGTATTTTTTTTGCCATTTGGCTTTGTCGATAGTTCAGTGATTTCAATTATGTGGGTAGGATGTATCCGGTCCACACGCAGCCTATAACTTTTTCACTTGCAGTTTTCAATATGAGTTCCTAATGATTACACGCCTCCTTCAGGAACTTTGAACAATACATCTCTCTCTCTCTCTCTCTCTCTCTCTCTCTCTCTCTCTCTCTCTCTCTCTCTCTCTCTCTCTCTCTCTCTATCTATCTATCTATCT